TAAGAGCTCTTCAAGAGACTTCCACTGTGCAGCCAAGGCTAGAGCTGTGGCAGCACAGGTGCCGGAGCAGGGCAATAATGTGAGCGAGGGGGTTGAGGAAGTTCACCTGATGCAGGTGTGGAGGACGGGTTGTGTGGGAGGCCAGGCCAGGTGTGAGATCAAGGATCCAAGCTAGGGTGGGGCAGACAATCCCTGATCCTCAGTATCTCCCCACCCCCTGGCTGTATAGCTCTGAAGAGGGGTTAGGCCTGGGACGGGCTGGGGAGAGCACGCTTGCCAAGTGCTCGGTAGGGTGTGTACTAAGGAGAGGCCCTGTTCTGGGTGTAGCAGGGTGCAGGACGCGGGCAGGGAGCTGGGTTGGTTTGCTGCTCACTGCCTGGGAGTACAAAGTGAAAGGCTGACCTTGGACCGAGGCCAGCTCAGCTGGCCCCATCCTCACTCCTCATATAGCTGCAGTAATAATCTTATGATTACTGTTTACTGAGTACCCACCATGTGCGGCCACTGTGCTAGACACTTTACACATTATGGCACAGTCATCTTTTAGAGTCGGTAGTAACCTAACAAATGAGCAAACAAGGCCCAGAGGGGTTCTAGAATTTGCTAGGATCACACAGAAAGCAGATCCGGACCCTGAGCCATATTTCCATCTCACCATGATGCTTCTACTCATGCTCTTTCCTTTGGCTAAAACTCTGCTCCCCTTCTCAGCTTATCTAAACGCCACTGTCTGCCAAGGCTGAGCTCAAATCTCAACGCTCCTTGAGTTTTCTTTTGAGGTCTTGGAGCGCTCCTGCCACTCTGGTCTGGAGTTGGCGTTGGGCACTAGGCCACACTCCCTTGTGTTGCGACTTTCCTCATGAGTCGTCTCCTGGCTCAGCGGCAGGGCTCCAAGGCTGGGACCACATGTGATCTTCTGTAGGTCCTGGGCCTCAGTAAGTGTTTGGTGCTGCCAGGGCCAGGACTAGGGTGAGGCAAGCAAGGTGCCTACTGCAAAACGTGCTCATGCGTGGGGTACTACAAATGCTTTTGCTGGCGGCAGCTGGGGGAAGGCTGAGGCAAGCAGACGCAGGTGCTGCGGTGGGTGAGCTCGGGTGTCCGAAGGTGAGTCACCCAACAAGATAATCCACTGCTGAGAACTCTCTCCTCGTATGTTTGGGTGTTGGGGTGAACTTATCAACTAATTAAATATATTGCACTTATTATAGCAACACTTCTGTTCTCAACTAGTAGATAAACATTGAGGACTGTTGCCCTAATCAAGGGATGCTAAACCCGAAGGTTATCAGAATGTTAACCTTTAAAATGAAAGGAGTAGGGCATATCACCTTAACCAGGCTTACACGCCCAGCATTGGATGTATAAGATCCAGGGAGACCCACACCATTGAAGGGGTGACTGACCAATCAATGGCCATCGCTACCCTCCCACTAGAACAGAAGCAGGGGCCATCCATGTTTGTTTCATTTACCACTTTATACTCCACAAGGCTCAGCACCTAGGACATAAATATGTTGATGACTTTATGCATTTTACTCTGAAGGAACAATGACGATGACAACATTTGGTCAGGAATCATTAAAACTTTCAGGAGAAGTGGAAATGATCAGAGTTTGAGAATACAAACTTGGGTGTGTGTGTGTGTGTGTGAAAAACTGAGCCGTGAGGACCATATGTCTGAAGATTTTTAAGTCTCTAAAGCGGGACCTACCCTGAGGCTGACCTCTGACCCTGTGGTCCCAGAGCCCTTTCTTCTCACAATTACAGTAAAATCAACGTGGCAGAGACATTTACTACCCAGTGCGTGTTCTGCCGCATTTCCCAATCCCCTGCAGCTGCTGGGCCAGCAAGCCACTCCTGTCACTATGATCTAACCTGACCAGAACAAGCAGCAGCTTTAGGAACTTGCTCGCTAAGTGTTAACTATTTAGTTAGTTAGGGGCCCTGCGGGATAACTGAGGCTTGGGAAATGCTTTAAGGATTAAAGCAGCACATTCTTCCAAATACATCTGAATTAGATGAGCATTGGGTTGGAGACTTTAAAAAAGGCTTTCACCTTAGCTATCCTGGCCGCTCGGCCTGCCGGAGTGCCAGGACCACTAGCGAAAGCTCGCTGTCTAAACGGCTTGTAGCTTCGTGGTGGGCTGTGGGTCTCCGGGGCTGCTGGTTTGGGCAGTTCACGGCCCTTCCTCTGTGTTTTAATTAAGTACCCTCGCTTGCCTTTCCTGAGCAGCCCAGTGACAGTCGAGGAGAAGCCCCGAAGGCTTGCTGAGGAGCAATGTAAACATCACGGGAGGACGGAGACCAGGCTTTGCTGCATTTGTTCGCTGTGAAGCAGGGCCCGCTGAGGCTGCAGTGTTTTATTCGTGGCTGTCTTTAAGCTCCTTCTCCTCCTCTGACTTTGGGGCAGTTTATTAATTGTACAAGGAGTACACAGAAATGGTGATTTCAACCCACCTCTCTGCAGAGGTGTTATTATTTCACCATCTACTACACGTAGGGGCAGATCCTGGTTTTTTCTGTGGCTCTCAGCCCCAAACGCAGGGTGGGCTCTAGGCCAGGCCCTCCCATCTGCCCACCCAGTAGTGGAAGTCTTGTGGGTGCCCCTCTGGGGACAGAGGCCCTGGCCCGCCTCTATTATACAGACATTTACCAGAACCAGCGAGTGCTCCTCCAAAGCCAGTGCAATTCCTGAGTCTTTAGGAAAATGAAAGGTAGCTATTTTTACTCTCATGCTTTCCAGCCACCCCGAAGGCCTCGCTCCACACGCCAATCATGCAACCTGACAGGGGCCCTCAAGAGGGCTGGCCTCGGCCCCTGCTTTCAGTTTTTATTCCCCTTCATTTCCTAACAGCTTCCACCCACTCGCTGTGTTAACTTCAGACTCCACAGGCTTTTCTCTCTCGCTCGCTCATCTCCTCCAGCTGCTGTAATTTGAGGCAGGAGCCATACAGGCTGTTCTTTCAAGCAATTCTCTAATATCTTGCATAACCGTCCTTAAGAAAGAGAGAGGAAAGCCATGTGTTTTAAGAAAAATGGAAGAATTCTGAGAAGAAAAAGCCAAAGTGGTTGGACCCACAGAAATCTCCTTTCAGGAAGCCAGTCAAAGGATGGGTTGAGGTCTCTTCTCTTCCAATTGTAAATGAGGTTTTGGTAAGACATAGTCTTAATTATTCCAAGCAAATGACAATCCTTCAGGGGTGGAATGCTATCACCTGAATTCCTTCGCTGGGTTTGTGGGCAGGGAGGCTGCCTGGCTCTATGGAGCAATTTGAAAACACCTTAGAAAAATCATTTTTTTGCACCTCACCATAGTCTGTGGCTGTCAAGTGGACAGCGAGTATTACTCCCCTCCTCTTAGGATAGAGGGAGCCGAGGTAGCAGAGAGAACGGCTGCTTCCCGCTGCCTTTTTCCCCAGCCATTCTGATCACGCTGCCACTCATGCAGACCTCATCTCTAATCTCTCTTCCGAGGTGGATGTGACACCCCGAAGGCTGGGACCAGAATAAAGTCCTCACAAAATACCACGGCATCCACATAGGCTCTGACTGTTTACCTTAGAGATAATGTTAAATCAACCTAAAAGGCTCCTTATAACACATGTGGAAACATCCGCCCCGGCTGTGGGCAGAGAAATCAGGAAGGAAAAAAAAGCTAAATGACACACTCTCCAAAACATAAAACCAGTGACATCCTTCATCTCAGATGAAAGACCTGTTTGCAGATGCCTGACTAGGAAAGGCTATGATGTGATTTAACCCCAAGTTATTCTCCGGGGGCTACTACGTCTTTGTTTGAGAGTAGTCTTTTATATGGGAATTACTGAATCCCTGTCAGCTGCAACCGGTAATCACAAGAAAGGCAAAACCAACGCAGGCTGGCAAAATGCTTCTTCCAGAGTCACCTGTAATAAGTTAAAAACCCGACAGAACACTGTAATAATAAAACCATCTTACCAGAGCACTAGGAATGTACTTTGTAGGCACCCCAGGTTTTCTTTTTTAATCTATTAATTTTATGGCTCACCTGTGAACACAGCTAGAGATCTTACAAACGGTTAGAGCTAGGACGAACCGGAGAACCAGTTCAAATTATTTAGTATTCAGCTAAAAGGAGTGATCCCTATAGAGGTTCAGCGACTTATCCAAAGTCACCTAGTTAATAACAGATGTGACAGGTCTTTAGTCCCCATCACAGCAGGCGACGATCTGCAGCGACGCCAGTAAAGACGTGGATTAGACAGACATGTTCACAAACAGGCGTCTGAGGCGGACACTATTTCCACGTGCAGGCATCATGCGGGGGCCAGGGGCTACGCACTGAATAACTGCTCTTCTCAGTGCTCTGGCTTCTCTGGATTCCAAAAGGCACTTAGAAAATTGTGTGGGACAGAAACCCTGCTGTAGGACTATGGCAACCCTGAGGCCTTTAAAGGAGGGTAAGCTTTCCTTTTTCCTAAAAATCATGGCAGGGGCATCCTGGCTGGCCTCGGGGGGCAAGGAGGACACCACACGGCTCCCTGTTGAGACTCTCTGGGTGAACCTTGAGGAGGACAGCGTCAGGAATCAACGCCCAGAAGCGTGGAGGAAGGCTGGCTGGGAGGTGTACTTGCTAAGGACCTCTTTGCTGTAGAAAGAACGTCACTTGACGTGGCTCTAGTTTATCCCAGTGGACAACTGTAGTAGTTTTGTCATTTGAAAAGGTAACTTGTTGAAGTGTCAGATCAGGTGGAAGAAGCCGTCGGACTGTGTGTTCTCACTCCACCCAGCCTACCCTACATAAACCTCCAAGACTCTGGGAACACTGCACTCCTCATTGCCCTCAGGTGCCTGCATTTCCTTTTAACTTCACACCAGTGGAAGTCTGAATGATGAATTTCCACAAGTTCAGTATCTAGTCCCAGCATGCCCAGATGACATGAGTACGTATGTTTGAAACTTAAATCAATCCTAAGGTTTTGCTTAGCATTTTTCAGCAGCTATAAAGCAAAATGGCCAAATGGTTTTCAAGTAAGTGACTTTTATTTTTCTCTGACATTTCACAGTCAATTTCTACAAAACTTCATACTTCCTCAAAAGAATTCACATTTGGTAAGTAAAATTCTACCCTAAAGAATCCATAGCTGGAAAAACACTTCAATATATGCACGAGAGTTACTTTTCTGCTGAAGGAATCAAAGTCAGACAATAGTATAATCAATAAAAAGCAATGAGAGTAATAAATTACAATGCCATTAAACTCCATTTCCATAACCAATTCAATCAGCAGCTTTTTCTAGATGTGTTTCAATGCTGCCAACAAAATCTGCCACAAGTTCTCTTACGGGTTGGTTTGAGCTAAGAATGGCTTCTCACTTTCAGAAACCAGTCGCTCTGCCGCACTGCTTCACACCAGGTCAAATCATGCATCGATCGCTACGACCACTACTTACAGCCGTGTGCAACCAACAGAGGTCTTTCTGGTCAGCTCCAAGGTCCCTCCATTTGTCGATCTGGCTTCTGGCCCCAAATGTCTGCTCACTTCAGTAGATTCTCCTTCCAAGATCTAGCTTCTCTGCTTGGCTTCGCCTGCTTATAGCTCCACTAGGGGAGGAACGCCCATGCTAAGAGCCTAGAGAGACTTTCGGCACTAAGTTGTAAGATCAGAGAAGAGCTGGGGGTGGTGCTGCTAACTCCCTGCCACTCAGCAGTGAGGACCAATGGTGGCTTTCATCATCTTTTACCATGACAGGAAGGGAAATGCAAGCCTTAATCTAGGAAGAGTCCAAAAGGCTTAGAGTTCCACAGAGGGTTTTTCTGATGGAATAAATGTGGTTCTCAGCAAGTTGTGTTCAGATTTTTGACACTCAGTGAGACTCATGACTGCTGCCCAGGCTGTTCTGAATGCACCTGTCTCTACAGCTTCGTTGCCAAACATATTCTGCCAGAAAGGAAGCTTCTTAGCATGGTGCGCAGAGCAGAGCTGCTGTAGCACCACATGGATTCAGGGGAGGCAAAGAGAGTCGGCCAAGGGAAAATTATTCAAAGGCGCTGAGTCGGGCTAAAGACACATTTGCTCAGATTTTCGAAACTTTCACAAAGCAAATGGCAGGTAATTATTCTGCGCTGACCAGGAGAGTCTAGAGATTTTTACCAAGTTGTAGATTTCTAAATCGGTCATATCTAACTCATACGCGTTTGAGGACAAAGTGTAGGCAATCTGAAGCCTTGTCATTTTTAAATGACCTAGAAAATAAGAGCATTAGCTTCCATCCTTGAGAAAACATTAAGAACGTTTTCCGTGCAGAAAAGGTTAAGCTGGTCATCCAGAACGTATTTAATGATTTTCAAGAGGATGACATTTTTAAATAAGAGGAGAAAAAGTTGGAAAGTTGACTATTTCGAAATCTAGTTTTCCTTTACAAGGAAGCTGATTGTGTTATCAGCTATAAATTCTCCTCACACCCTCCATTCCTAGATAACCAACACCGCACCTCTGGGTTTGCTGCCGATGTCCAACGGAAGAAACACAGAAGACCCTGCTCCACAGTCACTCCAGGTCACTGTGCGACGTGTGGGGCAAACGAACACTCTGGAGTGAAAACTGTTGAGAACGTTTTCCCATTTTTGTGGGCTTATAGTTCATATCCTCAGGGTGACTTTAATCCCGAGTCTATGAAGCTTAATCATCACTTCTTTCCTCATTTATAGAAACAAAAGAGGAATAAGCAGCAGCAGCAGCGGGTTAACTTACACTACACTCTGAGGAACCATGAAGCTACCTTTAAGATTTTCACACATAAAACAGGTTGCATTGTTTCAAAGAGAGGGGGGAAAACGCACAAATTACAGACTCTTCCAGTTTCTGACCAAGAGATGCTAGCCATGTCTACTTTTTTCAGACTCTAAAGTCAAAAAAGCAATTCATCAACTGTAATTCCAGATGGTACTGAATCTGTTCCACACTTTAAAAATCTGAAGTTCTTTTGCCTACCAGTTTAAGTGAAAAGGTCCCTGGCTTGTGATGAAAGTGTTGAGTTGGTTAAATGGTACGACCCTTTCCACTTGACTCTCAAGTTTAAGAAAACAGCTTTAAGTGATTAAGTGCTGGCACCCTAGGCCCAACCTAAGCCCCAATGGCACCGGCGCCCTGATGCAAACACCTCCTCTTTTCTCTGTGGCAAGACATTCAGGGGAAGATCTGTGAAAGGATCCTCATGTCACCTACTCCCTTGCTTGACAGGTGTCACTGTATGCTCATCCATGTCACTGCACCCTTGATCACGGTGAGTGAGTGGGATGGTGGGAGGTGACAGCTAGAAGAGCCCCACACAATCATCTCTCCTGCTCTGCCCCATGATCCAGCTAGGTGCCTGCAGGCTAAGGAAAAGGAGACTCCAGGACACCCCGCATCTGAGGTGCTCAGTGGAACGAAGACATAGGTAAACCGTGCATAGACCACAGGTTAACACAGCAGTCAGGTATTGGCATGTGGCTTCATAAGTGAACTGCTGAACAGTTTACGTTTAGAAGGAAAAGCTCTTACATAAGGTTTGGGAAATAGGAGTAGATAACAGCAAGTTAAAAAGAACCACTCGAGTAACAAGAAAAGATGCCTTCTGTGCTATATGTCTGGGTGATCAGAGAATGCTTCTAGGTCACTGCCAGTATGACTGGCCCCCGATGATAAAGATGCCTGCAGCTTGGCCCAAGCCTGAGGAGCCCTGCTTTTCGTGGCCTCTAAAAAGAGCCGGGTCTGCTCCTTTAGCTGGTCTAGCTCTACCTGAGTTGCTTGGTTCTGACGAATCAACTCCTTGGTTTTCAAAGTGATCTCCAGCAAGCCAGATCTGTGTAGCACTACTAGCGTATTCTGAAAGCGCCTGTGTTTGCTCTGCCGCTGCTCTGAGAAGATATCCGGACTGCAGCAGAGGTGCTCTGCGGCCCATAAAGGTGAGCTATAATTAGCTGACAGCGGTGAGAGGGGAGAGTTGCTCTCTAACCCATGCAGAGTACTGTCTGATGCGCAGACAGGACTGGCGGGGGAAGCAAAGGTCAGACTGGGAGCTTTAGCCACGTGGCTGCTGGACACCGGCTGAAGAGTCTGTGGACTTCCACCTGCCACCAGGGAGGGCACACCCTGCAGAGCTGAGTCCTCAGCAGCCTTGATGCTGGGGGGTGCTGGAGTCGGGGGACTGGACGGCACAGCACCAGTCTTGGTCGGCTCACTGGCAGACAAGCTTGGCCCGCGTCTCTCGGTACACATTTTCTTCCTCACTCCGCTTTCTGCTCGCTCCTTTGGGCTGAGGGAAAGGCCCCTTTTGCCCGGGTGTGGGGCTATTTTGGTGTAAGAATTCAGGATAGGCAAGTAGTTCCTGGAGTCCGACTTTTTCTCACCAGCGTGACATGGGCTGACAGGAGATGGCACAGGCGGATGAAGGAACAGGAGCTGTGGCTGCGCGGAGATCACTTCAAAGGAGGGCTGGACGGTCCACGACTGGAGCTGGGATGAGCTGCCACCCTGAAAGCAAAGGAAAAGAGCAGCATATTACTTGTTACCTGCTGAAAGGATACATGTTCGAAGCTTCTCTCAAGGGGCAAAGCAGAGGTATTTATGACAACTTCACAAATATAACAGCTTTCCTCACATATGGGGTAGCCCTCCTCAGGCATGTCGCTGGAGGAGTGGTTTGAAACTTAATTTGGGTCTGATATCATAGTTTTTTTTAACTTTTCCTAAGGGAAAACTGGAGGAAATACCTATTTTTATCCAAGTGCTATCACTCACAAAAAGAAATTGTAGGTAGGTGAAGTAATGACATAGTTATTTAAGGTCACAACTGAGGTAATGAAAATACAAAAAGTACAATTTAGTGGCATAAGTGAAAACGTGCTAATCTCAAGACTATAAATGTAACTTTACACCAAAATCTATCTTCATTTAGTTACATCTGGAACCTCTTTTACCTAAAAACAACTTGATTAAAAAGTTACATATGGCCAGGAGTCCATGGGCCTCTTTTAAATGCAGTGACACTCAACAACCATAAAACCTTTCACGACAGTAAGAGCCGCCGTGTGCTGGTGCTTACTACAGGCAGGCAGGGTGTGTGATGTTTTACATGGGCTGTCTCCGTAACAGCCCCATGAGGTAGCTATCATTGTCCTGCACAAACAGGAAACTGAGGCATAGAAAGCTGAAATAACTTGCTTTAAGTCAACAAGTTACTAAGTGATAGAGCTGGGATTCCATCCTCTGACTGACTCTAAAACCCATCCTAAGCACTCTGCTATAGTGCCTGTCTTACATTATTTCTCAATTATACATTTTTATTGTTAATTGAAGTACTGATTCAGATAGAAATCTAATAAAGACGGGCATGGCTACCTATTTCCACTATTTAAAAGCCAGTCCAGTTCCAACCTGGTCCCAAAGATAGGAGTGCCGAGGCTAGGCAGAGAGTGAGTCCATGACAGGGTTTCTTATCCTTGGTGGGGCCATTTGATTGAGCTGAAGAAAGCTATCTTCCCACATAGGCACACGGTTCTGCACACATTTCAGCTTCCTGGATGCCTGCCTAGGCACTTTAGGCCAGCTACAGTTCATCTCCTGTGCAAAGGGTGGGATGACCCGGAGAGTCCATTCTGCAGCCCTCTTGGTGTTCAAATATACTCTGGGATGTATGTAAGTAAGCAAGCAATGCTAGGCCTAGCAACCACACTTCCCTCTCAGAGGAGATCCAAAGTCAGGGGTATTTTGAAGTAGAAATGGCTTAGTCCAGCTCAGTCAGAGGCAAAACGTCAGGCTATCCCCCTAGTCACTCATGCTCTAAGGTAGACCTACGAGGCAAACGGATCCAGAAAGCATCTAATGCTCTGTTTGCCTAAGATGATTTCACTCGATTCCTCCTAATGCTGCTGTTATGCCCACTGTCGTAATAGATACTTAGCTTACTTGTTCTAATTATTAGATTTTACAACATATTATTCATGTTGAAATCATCTGAGGGAATACAGGACAAGATGTTTGACTCAGAGAGACTCTCCGAATCATTTCCCATAAAGCCTTCATGTTGAAGATGAGGAAACTGAAGTCCAGGGCGGTTAAGTAATTAACTGTGCGCAAGATCACACAGGCGTGTGGCAGAACTGGAAACAGACTGCAAAAGAAAAGTACCTACAACCAAGCAGCAGTAATCAAGGCATTACACAACCTGCAGAGATTTTAAAAGTATCTCATTATTGTAATGTTGGAGTGTGCTGGGTTCTCGCATGTGTGAAACACAGAAGATGAAACTCCTAGACTACTCCATGAGGTCAGCCTGTCCCCATGCCGCCCATCTCCTGCGGGAGCCCAGCGGCCTTCTGGCTGGTCTGTGTCCTGAAGAATGCAGCTCTGCTGGAAAAGCCTACTCACTCCTCAACTGTGGGCTGTTCTCAGCCCTCTGGAGCTGCCGGCCTCACCTACAACAAAGCCAGCATATAAACTCAGACTCACACGGAAGGGTAACCTGGGAGCCAGAGGGGAAGGCAGATAGAAAAAAAGCCAGGAGAAAGGAAGCCCTGAGAAGCATCACAGCACTGGTGGGGCCTGGACAAGCTCATTTGGGCTCCATCATGTGTCTTTATTCTCTCTCTTCATTTCAACAAGCAGAGCTGTGCTTCCCGCTGAGATGTGATTTGCCAAGCAAAAATCTTCAAATTCTTTTTCCAAACTCACTAGGTTGCCTTGTTGAAAATCAGCTTGTGTTCCCCAGAAATAACCAGGTAATAGTTTTTTAGAAATAGAAATAACTAGTTAAGATGTTAAGGTTTCTTATCAGGCTACAGACATGTATATTCTTCTACCTAAGGTGGGAAGGTCAACAACGTAAGGCCAGATTTCAAATGTCACTAGCTTCAGCAGCCTCAGCAATGGACCCATGGGAGAACTGATACATTTTAGAGCAAAGTAGGGTAAGGTTAAATATTCTTTAACCCGGTTCATATGACTAAGTTCTGTTTCAAACATGGGGACTTAGCTTAGGTTCCCATCTAAATCTTCTTTTCTTTCCTATCTAGACAATAACCACATATTATGCAAAGTTATATAATAAAGCCCGAAACAGAGTGTTTTTCAACAATGCTGTGTGGACACTTCTGGGATAGCCATACTTAAACCAAAGAGCTGCCCTCTCACTAATGACATGACTTTGGCTGATTACTAAGAAAATGCTCAGAATGTGACATGAGAAACATGGAAACTGCCTCGACTTCTCAAACAAATAAATCCTACATTTCTAAATTCCCAGGGCATTTCAAATTAAAAAGAGATTCCTTTGTTTCTACCCTCAATTCTGTCACATATTAGAATGCATTATAAAAGCTGTGACATTTCTGCTTGGTTCCTTTCTGCATGACAAAAGAATTCCGGAGTTCGTCTGGACAAGCTAGGGATATAAAACTAAAACAGTCTCACTGTCTGGAAAATGACAACACATGTCACGGTTCTTGTAGTCCTTTTTAAAAAAACACTGTCAGTAGTTGAAAGGAAACATCCTCTCCCCAGGACAGAAGTAAGCATCAGCGTGGTTCTAATGGTCTGCTTCTAAAATCTCTCCTGGGCAGAGAGGAAGGGCCTGTGTGCACAGGACACTCGGGAACTTTAAATGGCAGAGATGTCAGAAGCTATCAGTCCTCCTCACCTGTTTGACCAGCACATTCTTCATGACGACCATGGGGGACAGTGTAGGGAAGGCGTTGCTTGCAGTCTTGGAGTTCTGCCTTGGCCTCTCTTCCCGGCTCCAGCCCAAGGCACTCAGCATGTCCTCGGACTCCATCTGCTCTGCCGAGCTCAGACATTCTGAGCTCCCATCTGGTGGGCAGAAGAACGGTCAGTTCACTCAGGCTCAAGGCTCAGGGCTCTTAACCAGGGCAGCCGTGGATGCCTTGAAACTGAATCGAACATTTGTGAGGTGGGTTTTTGTGACCTTTTTCGGAGGAGAGGGTCTGTAGCTTTCATTGGCTTCTCAATGGGATCCATAAGCATCACTCTCACCCCAAAAGATTAAGAATCACTGCCCGAGGACTTCCTTTCTAACTCTCTTACAGGCAAAAGCCTGCATCAATTCAGGTTCATGTGAAAGTAAATCATCAGCAATCTACAGGAGAAAGATACCGAAGGCTTCAAAGTTAGTTCATTACTATCAAGAATCTCTTGCTGAAAGGCGAGGGGAGTATGTGTGTAACCTGGGGCAGGATTAGATCTGTAAGAGGCTCTGGGCACAAGATGTAATTATAGTAAAAACAAAACCAATCTGTAAACCTTAAAACTTACATTCATGCTGAAATTAAAATAGCTTCTTCCTAAGTTTTCTAATTGTAAATTCTGGATAAGTTCATCAAAGCTGAAGTTTAAAATGTGTCCGTTTGTGTTGTTCCCTCTAGCTGGTTAAGTACCTCCTTTGCTTGTGTCCTAAATGCATGCTCAGTGTGCCTGCTGTGGGTCCTGCACAATGGGTTACAGACAGGTACCCTCCAAGGCAAAGAAAATAAGGTTGCTCTACATGAAATCCATACAAAAAGGACTTAATTAGCTATCTGCTACAGCAAACCCAAAGACTACTGTAACCCTGCTATTGAGAAGTCTGGGGATACCCTAAATGCTCATCAAGAATCTCGGCGTAGTCTGGATGAGGCAGACTGGAATGTGACTTTAATTTAAATGAGTGCAACTATCAACACTTGTATTTAAATCAGAATCTCCAGGGATACTTTTTAGAAATTATGGATGTTTGTGTCCTCCCCTCAATCTACTGAACTGATTTATCTGGTGCCCAGGCAGGCGTATTTTCACAAAGCGCCGTGAGTTATCCGAATGTGCACCTCTAATAAAGAACCATCAGGCCAGAAACAAAGGCCTCAGGAGCAAAGTGCACACCTGGGGCCTGGATCTCGGTTTTTTAAAGGCCAATCTGCACAAAAAGGAAACCAAGGTTCCTTGGATTCCAAGTCCTTTGCAGGGAAGGTACAAGATGAGTCTGGACATCTTTATTGTCCCAAAAAGCAAGGAAGTACTCAAATGGGGACATGTCAGAAAGACACAGGAGCTATCTATTGATAGAAGGAACTCCCAATGGCCAAATCTGAGACAATTTTAGTATTGAAAAGAATAATGTTAAAGGACTGACAAACTGAATTACAAAAAAATTCGATGAATCCACAGAGATAAAAAAGGGGTGGAGGCGGGAAAGTGCTTCTTTACAGAAGAATGTCAGCTAATAAAATATACAAGGAATAATACAATTAGATGACCATTTTTAAACCATGAATGTAGTAACTGATTCAGGCAAGGATCACCAATGGATGCTAAAACCACTGGGCAAGAGTTTGTTGGGGAACAAGATAGTCACACAGTCTCAAAGACTGGTCCCATAAACTGCTTATAATTACCAAGAGAAAAGGGTACTTTTATAATAAAGAAATCTGGTGTATGCTTACAAACCACCTTTACCAAGTGATCAATAAGCGCATCACCAAGAATAAGACAAATTTAGGAGTCTTATGTGTGCAATGAGGGTATAACATCAAAAATAAAGTATTCTGGTATATATATAAAAAAGTTTATCCTGGGCTGGCCGAGTGGCACACTGGTTAGGAGTTGGCTTGGGACATGCCAGCTCTGAGCAGCAGGGCCCCGGTTCGGATCCCACTTAGGGCTAGTGACGCTACGCCCTCTACAGCTAAGATGGTAAACAACAGCTCGACCTGGAGCTGGGCTGCCATGAGTCGCCAGTGAAGGCGTAGGCTGCAGCCTCTGCTGCAGTGGGCTTCTGTGCTACCGTGAGTGACTGGCAGACGGTGTGAGCGGCTGGCAGCCCCAAGAGCTGCCAAGAGCCGCCATGAGCGGCCGTCCAGTGGCTGGTGACCGATCTGCCTCACCCGGGAAGAGCGCAATGATAATACCAACATGGGCCAGTGAAGCAACGTCCTCCACAACTGGACTGAAGAACAAAAGGACAGCAACTTGTCTTCTATTCCCTGTCCCCAATTCCCCAATGCTGTTCCCCTCCCCCAATTCCCGTATAAAATCTTTAAAAAAAAAAAAAAAAAGTTTATCCTGATTCTAATAACAGGGAAGCTACCAAAAAAGTCCAGTGTGTGAGACATTCTACAAAACAGTCTTAACTCATTCAAAGATGTTGATGTCATAAAAAAAAGAAAGGAAAAGACAAAAAAGGAAAGATGAGGGAGCTGTTCTAGACTAAAAAGGACTAAAAAGACAGAACTAAATGAAATGTACAATCTTCAACCCTGGATCCAAAAGAGACAAAAAGACTCACGGCTGTAAAGGACATTATTGGGACAATGGGAAACTCTGAATATGGACCGCAGCTAATTAATAACTGCAGCTTACATCATACTCCAAGGTAACTGGATAATAACTTGGGCATTGACAAGATCCCTGGCACCTGGCCTAGATGTGGCTGGAGGCATTCACTGAGGTCACTTTCTGGGGCATAACGAATTTGATTAGTTTTAATACTGCCTTATGTCTGAGCACGACAACACTTCTTATAGCACTTTTACATAAGGAAACTGTTGGAAACAGTATCCAAACTTTGGGACACACTACAAAACAACTGGCCTGAGAAAGGTGAAGCTGTTGGAAGGACAGGTGCCAAAATGTCAACAGTACTGGGAGTAATAGGTGGTGGAATAATGGATAACGTTTATTTTCTTCTTTGCACATTTCTAAATTTCTAAGCTTCTACAATGAGTATTACCTTCATGATATGAAAAAGAGACAAAAAACAAATGTGACATTCAAAGAAAAAATGGAGACACTAGGCCTGCAATGTTTCCCAAACCTGTCTGATTACATGAATCACCAGAGACACTTATAAAACAATAAAACCCACATTCCACGCCCTCCCCTCAGACCCTCGATATCACAATCTCCAGGAGAGGGGTCTGGTGAGCAGTATTTTTAACACCCCAGATGAGCCTTATAATGAGGCCACTTGGGAAATGATGCTAAGAGGTAGAGAAGAAAAACCCAAAGGGCTACATGTTGGCCCTCCCTTCCCCAGACCGTCCTTATTCTAAATCCTTGGTCAGTGGGTACTCTGTTCCTCTCTGAGCAACCGTCTATTTATAATTTGGCTTCTCACGCAGCATGCCTACAGGGAGAAAATAAACCAATCTAAGGATGAGGCAGTTTTAGTGTTCCTAACAGCTGCATTTCTCACTATAAGTTAATAAATCAACAGGATGGACTGATTAGTCTCTGTGAGGCTGGATAACAAATCTTCCTCTAGGAGAGGACTCCATCTCAGGATGCTGACCTGGTTAGATCCCCTGGCATCACCCCTCTGCACTCCCTGGGCCAAAATGTTGACACTAGAGCCACAGTCAAGCCATTCCCCTCAGACCTGGAAATAAAAAAGAGCCTCAGCACAAAATTGAACGATTCACTGGGTACGCAGCTAGCCCTTTCAGGTAAAGTTCAAGATAAACTTGTAAGTAAAATTGTTCTACTTTCTTATCTCTAATAGATACTCAAGTTTGGATTTGGGCCAGGGGGCTCATAGTCCAAATATAAAATACACAGATACTGGGAGGATGGGCTGTAGAGAGAAAATGTTTTTAAACACACCCAAATTACTTTCTTAGCAAAAAAGTTACCTTAACAAATTATATATTACTTTTGTTTAATTTGTTACATGCAGTATTTAATTTGTAACATGCAGTATGTTTTTTCTGCAATGTAACTACTCCTAAGAAAAAGGAGCTAAGACAACAGAATTATTAGTATTTAAATGTTTTTTTCCAGTAACCATTTGCAACAATTGAAAATGTAAGATTTCAAGTTGAGTCTGAGTTGAAAAAGATGTCAAATCATTCCTTCGTAACTAACCCCATGGTGACTCTGATGGGTATCCTGCCATATGGCATCAGAATTACCATTTTAAGAGATCGGAGAGCTATTTATTCTGTACATGAAAGCTTCCTATCCTTATCACACAAATGAGTTTTAGGGAAGACCGTTTTCAGGCAAATCATTCATCACAATGTAGAAAGAATAAGGTATGTTTAACCTGAAAATCCAGAGTCCTTATCTGACTCAGTAGCTGCCATGCCGAGTTGACGAGCCACTTTTTTCATCTCTGTGCCTTTGCCTAGTTTGGCCAAGAGTCTTCTGGGGCTCTCTCGGGATGAGTTTTTCTTCTCCATGTTTGACTGGGCTGGAAGTGGATTCACCAGTCCTCTTTCATCTGGAGTGCCCTGTGAAAAACAACAATTACATAAGATGGCAGTGCCTGGATAGCTGAAACAGGTGATCCAAATGGTGAGTAAAGTAAGGGCAAAGAACACTGGCCTCGCCCACTTCCTCTGTATTTTCTCAGAGGTCTCAACGGAAAAGGCTTCAAGTTTACTAAGTAGTAGAAGGGTTTCCACCCAAAAGGAGGTTCGCTGTCCTCTCTGTGCCCTCTAATTTCATTGCAAATTCAAGGCACACAAACCACATTCAGTAGAGGCTTTGTAAACTAACAAAGGGACATGTGATTAGGCTTCTGGAGTGGGGACCTCACCCCGCTCCCTGAGGGACAAGAGGAGGGAATGCCCACCTCAGACAAGGCTTGCTTTCCTAGGACACATCTGCCAGCTCCTGACTTATTACCACCTCCCAAGTGTGGTTTCTCAAATTAACCTTTTACTTCTTTGGATGAGGTACTGAATGGAGTAAAAACAACTCCTTACATATGCATGCTACTTTTTGGCTTAAAAAGCACTTTATGCTCAATTTAGATTACATATAATAGTGCTCTGCTTCTATAAAAGCCCACAACATTACTTCTGTTCTCTCACTTGAGCCTCACAACGTCCTCCTGTTGCTATCCCATTTTACAGAGGAGGACGGTGAGGCTCAGGTAAGTTACCTTGGGTCATTTAAAATATTTATCAAGTGCCCACTGTGAACCAGGCATTGTGCTCGGACTGGGGATACAGGGTGAACTGAACAGACATGGTCCACAACCTTCCTGGAAATGAGTCTGGAGAGAGACAGACATTAATCAAGTAATCACACAATGAATTACTATTTTGATAGCAGCTATAGGGGAGAGGCTAGCAGTTTGGAGGGACAGGGAAGGGAGGAAAGTGACATGTAACCGGGACCTGGAGTTAGTGGGGGTCAGCCCCGGAAGGGGGCTGGGTAGGGTGGAAGTGTGAAGGCCCTAAGGGAACGAGGAGCCTGACACATTCAGAGCCAAAAGGCCAGAGCACAGTGCATAGGGTGGAAGGCCATGCCCTGACCGTCAGTGCCCTGTAACCAAATTTGTAAGGATGACTTTGGATATTAAGAGCAATGGTAAGTCATGGAAGGACTTTAACCAGGAGAGTGACAAGACCAGATCTGCATTTTAAAAGCATTTTGGTTGCTGGACTGAATGGAGAGAGACCAGAGTGGCGTTGAGATCATCTAGATACTGCTATACTACTGAGTCCACAGTCCGGGTGAATTAAGATGGTGGCAGTGGAGATGGAGAGAAGTGAACAGGTTGGAGACATATTTAGGAGGCTCACTTGATGGGGCTTGGTCATTGTTTGCTTGGGGGCAGGGGTACACGGTGGGACCATTTTCTAAGCTCGGGAGCCCAAGAAGAACATAGAAGGGATAGGGTGGGTGGCCAGGCTCGTTCAGTTTAGGCCATGCAGAGAGAGGTGACTGGCTGTGGGTCATCCAGGTGGAGATGCAGGGTAGGCTGTCACAGGTACATGTTGGGAGCCCTGCAAGAAGCCTAGATTTGCCCCAGTGACACATAGCTAGTCCATAGCAGAAGCATAACAAGGCTGACAGTGCAAAGAGTTAAACAAATGAGCCCTTCAAAGGGCTGGCAGAGGCTGAAAACTTTCCAGACATTTTAACAAGGCCATTTGAGTCAGCGATGAATGGAGCTGTAAGGCTGGCATGATAAGAACACAAAGGATACAACAGGGCTAAAGGGAACAGAGGGCCAACAGGGAAAATGACAATAATAATGAAATTAGGTAGGTGTTGGTGTGAGTGTTTGAAATCCTAACCTCCAAAGATGATGGTATTAAGAGGTGGTGCTTTTGGGAGGTGCTTAAGTCATGAGGGTGGGGCCCTCCTGAGTAGGGTTAGTGTCCTTATAAAAGAGGATCCAGAGAGGTCCATGGCCCCTTCCACCGTGTGAGGACACAATGAGCAACCCGTGACCCAGAAGCGGGTCCTCACCTGACCGTGCCGGCGCCCCGATCTGACTTCCAGCCTCTACAACCACGAGAAATAAATTCCTGTATTTATGAGCCACCTGGTCTGTGGTATTCTGCTATAGCAGCCCAAGCGAGCTAAGATAGTAGGTGTCAGCAATGCCCGGTGACATTTTAATTCGCAATCTACTCACAACTCCATCCATTTGTCCTTCTGAGAGCAGCAGAGAAACACAAGCCCCCTGCCAAACAGCACTGTATCGGAATAGCCTGAAATGCCAAGGCTGAACATTTCTGCTAATACAGGATCTTGTGAAGAACATCTACTCCGGAAGCAGAGGAGAGATTCAAGATAAAATTAAACCAACGACAAGGATACTTATGAGCAACCCTCTTGCTCATGCTTTTGCGTTCAGTAGACATGGACTAAAGGGAACATACGCTGATCTGAATTAGACTGAATTTTAAACACAATTCCAGGTAAAAATGATTTTGTACCATGTCAAACTCAATTAACGGAACTGGTTTTCCCATTCAATCCATGTCAAACCAAGTCCTCTTTGACAGGTCACAGGTTCAGTCCTATGTGCATAAGAGATAAATGGCACTGTCATATCTGGTAGAGTACCATGCAAAAGCAATGCCTCTCTATTGGACGGCCATGGACAAGCGCAACAGCAAGGACAATGCAGTCTAAAAAGTAGACTAAAATGTAAAAGTATATCTCTAATTGAATCAGCGTCCTTTTGTATGAAACCCAGCAAGTGTGCATGGTTTCATTTTCCTGAAATAATACTGTCTGAAAATGAATAGGCTTCTTCAAAATGGAAGTAGATGTAGCTTGTGGATGGGCAATCAGACTTATTCAAGCCTAAGCCTGTGTTGATTAAGTTGAGGAAGGCAGCCCATGTTAGGTGCAACTAACTAACAACTTGACAAAGTTTCACATCTTACTAAATGTGGATTATTTTAGGTATTTTAGGTAAAGCATCCCAATTTAGTCTTCTTCAGTCCTGTGACAAGAGAAAAGGTCTGGCTGCTGTTGTTAAAGTGTAGTCAATGGCGCTACAAAAGATACGCAGGAATTTATTCTGGCCCATCGAGAATATGCAGGACAACATTGATTGTGGAATCAAAATACTGAAACATTGACAAATGTGTTAAAAGGAGAACAGATGCTAAAATTTTAGATCCTGGGGAACTGGCGGCAGTTGGAAATAAAGAACACATAGTCTACTTTACAATAGTAAATTAACTACTTTGGATGTTAAAGTGACTAAAAATATGAAAGCCTGTGTCCTAAGTTCTCTTTAAGCAGCAGAAAGTCTTAGTGTCCCAGGGAAGTTCAGGTGGGGTGGAGAGTGAAGGGCTACATCCCACCTTGACCTCTCTTCTCTGATAGAGGCACTTCCTTCCCAGAAGTGGTACTGAGGACATCAATTGGCTGGTGAACAACAGACCCACTCATACACAGCACCAGATGAAGCTCGCGACAGACAAGCAGCAGAGAGTCAGCATTCACTACACGTGCGCTCAAACCCTGGGCAAAGTCTGAAAACCTCAAGATTTTTTTCCTCCTCGGTATTTTTACAATAAAGTTAACTGCTCATAAGCTGACTCGGGGTTGAAAATGGGTTACCAAGCTCTTACCCACATGTGCCATCTCTGTTTCCTGGCACAGACTGGAAACCACTAACACTGCTTTACAAACACCTCAGATCTGCATTAAAAGGACTCCAACTTAAGCTCCCCAAACTGTCAGGATCAACCCTAACTGGGCCTCTTATAAGTGCAAACGTAACACAGCGTCCAAAGGTTCTCCGAGAGAACAGTACACACTAAAACTTATAAAGGAAAGTGAATATAAATATAGAGGGTTTATATAAATAGATATAAAATTCTAACAAGTACTCCATACCACTTGGCTCTTCCATTTTTGCACTTCTTACCTTACAGTCTAATTATTTGTCTCCTCAACCTCAAGAGTTGTGTTTTCATCTTTGCAACCTCAGCCCCCAACAATGTGTGAGGTGCTCAACAGAATAATAAATTCCTACCAATTTTCTGTCCTGCTGAGCCTCACTAACAGCCCTAGCAATTTAGCTGTCACTGAAATACCTGAACAGCTTGAAAGTCAAGATTCTGCATTTCCAAACACCAGAGTCACCTAAAGATCTAACTTCCAGGTCTGGTCTCCTGCAGGAAGCAGATATCTCATGTACCCCTTATTATATGATGAAACCTCAGGGATAAATCCACCAACTAAATTAAGGTTGGTCTAATCCACAATCTCTATGATGATTTAGGATTATGATAAAAGGGAGACCCAAAGTTTACAAGGAAATGATCTGATATGTTACTCTCAGATCTCGCCTTTCATAGATACTTGGCAACTTTCCTGAGAGCTCAAGTTTCTTTTAAAATGTGTCACATGTATAACACGCCTGCACGGATAAAGGTGTGAGGAGAAAGCCAAAGCAGGAGCTTAAATACAATAGAGGCAAGGCCGTAAAAAATTAAGACCTTACCCCAGAAAACCAAGAGTAATCCCAATTAGAATTATAAATACATTACTACAATAGGTTTTCTCTGAAGTCATTTTCTCTTGGTTTGCACATTTGAAGATACCACTCTGGAGGAATGTCTGTGTATTTTAACAGAGAACACCTCCCCCAATCTACCTAAATCTCTAATATTCACCTTCCCTTTCATAGCCATTTTGATTCTTCAACTTGGCTGCACATTCACGTCCAAGATCCTGAACCCCGACCCCATACAACATCCTCTGTTTGGAACCAAGTGAGACTCGCTCCACCCTCCTCTTCCACAGAGGAGATAAGATTAGAGAACTTCCCTCAAACCCCCTGCTTCCAGAAGGGTTCACAGTAACTGCCCACCTCCCCATTCGCACCAGCCCACGCTGCATCTGTGCCAGGCAGCAGGAGTACCCTCCAGGCATCCACCAGCCTGCCAGCTCAGCAGGGCAGAACTGGGCAGACCCTAGGACTGTGCTGTGACTGGCATACCACCAGCCTCCCAGGGCAAACGCC